TGAGACATAATGCAAATGCCATAAAATCCACATAGTGTACAATTAAGTGATTTTTAGTATATTCAAATTGTATAACCATCACTAATTCTAGAACATTTTCATCCCATCTAAAAGAAATCCCATATGCATTAGTACTCACTTCCTGTTCTCTCCCTGCAACCCATGGAAGACACTGATCTACTTCTGTCTCCATGGATTTACCTATTCTAGACATTTCCTATAAATACATTCATACACAGTATGTAGATTTTGTGTGTAGCTCCTCTCCTCCTCTTGTTTTCAAGATTCATCCATTTTGTACCACTGTCCTCCTTTTCCTCCGATATTTTAAACTTACTCCTAGTCTCCTCAAAACTCAAACACTGGCACCAACCCTTTCATTCTTACGAATGACTTTGCATTTTACTTCACAGAGAAAACAGACCTCCACACCACCAGATGTAAACTGGTGGTTCGTGCAATATTCACCCTCCCCTCCATTCTTCTCTTCTGTTTCAGAGGAAATATTTCAGTTTAAAATCAGTTCTTCAGTCTTGATCTCATTCTTTTTTGCTTCCTCAAGATTTTGCCCCTTCAATCATCCCCACGGCCCTGTATGGTCAACCTTTCCTCTGCTTTGGATTTTTCCCATAAGAAGAGTTAAATAAATATTTCTTATTAACAACCAAATACAACTTTAATCCTGCATATCTCTATCTCTGTATTGTCCTTCAAAGTCAGACTTGAAAAGGTTTTCAATATTTCCTGTTTCCTTACGCTCTTCAATCTATCACTTTATGAATTTCACCCTCACTGGAAGCTGTCTGACTAGAGTTACCGACTTCTTTATCAGTCAATCCACTGGCCTCTTTACCTTAACTCACTTCACTTCTTGGCAGTCAAGTGCTATCCACTGCCTCCTTTTATGATGCCCATTCTCTCTGTTTTTCTCCTGTTTCTCTGGCAGCTGATTTTCAGGCAATAATCGTCTCTCCTCTATGGCCCCCTAGTGCCTAAGGGCTTGTAACACTTATCATGTAACATTAATTATATATATACTCCATGCAGGCAATAACCCTTAGTATTCTTAGGCCCTAGTGGATATTTCTGGTGGCTAATAATCAATGTTTGTTGAATAGTGAATAAGTGAAAAATGGAGAAGTCAAGAAGATGTAAGGCTGTTTTCCAAAGGTAGGTAAAATCAGTGAGATCTATTACAGCATGCTGTCCTACAACAGTCTTCACACCACAATACAGGTTTTTCTTGCCCCCTGTATCTTTTGATTTCACCTTTCTCATCATGGCTTTCAGTATGTGATCTCTGGACCCCAAATCTGCTCTGTATAATTATTTGTCCAGCCTTCCTATTTCTGCTTCTCCCCTGTTTCTCAGAGGATTTTTTAAATTCTTACCTTAATATGTTACCCTAAGTATTTTTAAACTGAAGTAATATTTAATAAAATGCAGTTAAGCCAATGCATGAAACACACTGGAAACTTTTTGGGAGAGATAATGGATTAAACACAAACTTTTTAGTTCCTCCTCAAAACTCCTCTAAAACAAGGGATTTTCTAAAAGGCATAAACTTATAAGGATGGGGAGGATGGGAGAGAAGGCAGAAACAAAATCTTGTATCTAGAATACAAATGGCAAGTGGTATAGGGCAGTCCTGAGAGAGCTTGAGCAGTCAGACACAATAAACCACACAATTTGGGATTCAGAAACACCCCATGTTTCAAGAACTTGAGTTTGTAGGGATCTCTGGAAGTAAGGGAAGGGAGAAGAACAGCTAGCAAAAAAAAACCTGGATGAGTTTGTTTAAGAAATATTAAGGTCCATACAGCTGAGAAGTTGCCTTTTATTTATCCCCATGGGATAAAACAGGTAAAGCAGAATCTCTGCACTGAAGAACACCAGTGCTGAGGGAGGAACACTGTATAGAAGATAGGCAGATTAGTCCGACATGTCTACCAGGGGCTAAGATTGGATCCCTCCCTTAACTCTTACAATGCTGGCCTTTGCTTTCTAGCAGGGAATAAGGACAGGATTCTCCAGGTAATCTGACCAGCCTAAGAAGAAAGAGCTAAGGATCCCTAATAAAACTGACCTGATCATCTTTCAACGAAGTACACATGGTCAAATTCACATAAGCCCTTGGAACTTCAAATTAGTTTCTTAGTTTCCCACTCCCAAATTTAAGTAGATAACCAAAGGTTACCAAATAACTGAGAAATGCCTCTAATATGAAAGATATAACCCCAAATAAATTAACAAAGTGGCAGACTAGAGGAAACCCTGGGAAGTAAACTAAAAACAAAGAACCAAACTATTGTTATTATATTCAGATGAAATTAAAAAATAGTAAATATGACACACCAAAAAGGAAAAAACATGCAGAGAGAACAAAAAATAACTTTTGAAAATTTGAAATGATAGCAGAAAAGAAAAACTCAATAAATGGTTGGAAGATAATATCAAAGAAATCACCCAGAAAGTAGAGCAAAAGACAGATGGAAAACTGGACAGAAAAGATAAGAATATCTCTATTAGTTTGCTAGGGCTGCCATAACAAAGTGCTATAGGCTGGGGCGTTTAAACAACAGAAATTGATTTTCTCACAGCTGGGGAGGCTAGAAGTCCAAGCTCAAGGTGGTGGCGGTTTGGTTTCTCCTGAGGCCTCTCTCCTTGGCTTGCAGATGTTGACCTTGCTGTGGCCTCACATGGCCTTTTCTCTGTGGACACACATCCCTCTTGTCTCTTCCTCTTCTTATAAGGACATTAGTTAGTCCTATTGGATTAGGACCCCACACTTATGACCTCATTTAATTTTAATTACCTCTTTATAGTCCCTATATTCAAATATACTCAGTTGGGGGTTAGTGCTTCCACATGTGAATTTTGGAGGGACACAATTCAGTGCATAACTATATCAGAGGACCGGTCGAGAAATACCAGAAAGAAAAAACAAAGAAAATGGAAGGAAGGAAATAGTCAAGAAGTGCCGGAATCCAGCTCCAGTGAGTCCAGGAGTCCCCGAAGGAGGAACAGTGTTGGTGATTGAATGATGAGGTCACAGACACCAGCCGAATTGCTAAGCTGAGCCTTTATTGCTGAAGTTTATTAAGGTTATATATGTTTTGGGCATGCAGTTTCATAAAGATTAGATCATTTGATTTTTCTCAAAAAAAAGTGTTCACATAAAGGTAAACCTTTACAGATTAGATTACCTGTGCCTTAATAATCATTAATTTTTTGCATTTATGCGTGCTTGTTTGGCTTCCCTGGTGGTGTTGGAACAAACATGATTTAATTCTCAAAATGTTCCCTCACGCATGGTTGGCCTAGGCCCTACTTGCAGTTTCTTTTTTATTGATTCTAAAATAGCCATGGTTAATATTCATCTGATTAACAAATATAGCTAAGTCTGCTTTTCCAGGTCTAGAGTATTACCTGCAGATCTTGAGAGAAACATCAAAACAGTGTAACATCAAAGCAGTGTAGCAGGACTAAGCTGATTGTAATTATGGGAACTGAAAACTCTGTACTCTTGGGTAGGTGCCCAGTTTCCTAGAGACGAAAGCGTTGCACCTGGGGGGATGAGGTGAGGGGAAAATGACCACTGAGTCAGAAGGCATAGGGGGCCAGTGGGGCCACTTCTCTTCCCAGGGAGGGCAGGGGCATGTCCTTTTTAGAGTTTCTTTAAGCCATTTACAATAATGTCTGCAATAATAATCTTTTTATTGGGAGAGTTTCTACAATCATGCCAGGCCCTTTCACACACAATATCCCATCTATTATACATGCTGGCTCTCCTTTATTCTATTTTTCCCCCGGGATCCAACAGGTCTAGGAGTCATTTGGAAATTCCTCATGGGGCCGACTTGGGCAGGGAGAGGGAACTGGAACCCACTCAAACAATCCCTGTTTATTATATCCTAATAGTTGTTCCCAGTGTCCTCTCCGCATCCCCTTCTTATCATCCTGTCCTCCCTTTCTGGGAGAAAAGGGGGTCTTGCTCCTGGCATTTCTCCCAGGGTATTTTAAATTTGGTTTTCCAATTTAGGTGTGTAAGTGAACAATAACACTTCCAACCACCATATTAATAAGGAGAGAGAGCGGGGTTGTTCCTCTCAGAAGTTCGCTTTGCGGTTCCTTCTTTCTGGGCGGTGTCTGGGCTCTGCCATCAGACGGGAGGTTCGGACTGGCTCCCGTCATCTCCCCCTTTTTTATTTTTTAATTTAAAAGTTTGAAGCTCTATCGCCACCTAATGGATGCTGCTTTTTAAGAGCGAGACCAGGACTGGAAGGGAAATAAGAAGTGCGAATATTATTATTCCACAAATTCCAATATTAATTAAGATGTAAAACTCGTTTTATGAAAGTAGGAAGAAAGATTATTGAAAAAAGTACTGGAAACACTGGAGGAGGGAAAGTCTTCTCCTGCTGGACTAATATCATGAATTTCTTGATGTAATTTGGAGAGGTCAAAACTTAAATCTGAGTGGTTCTAAATTCCCATAATATGATTTCTGATTTTTTCCTAAGAGTGAATAGACTTATTTACTTGTAGAGGTGTGACACATATCCAATGATAATCAGCATGACATCGAAGAGCTAATCGTACTTTTAATGTCATTAACTCTCTTCTAATAGTATAGCTTCCTCTAAAGCATTAACTTTGGATTCTAATTTTTGGTCAATAATTTCTTGGGTTGCTAAAGCCAAGGATATATTATTGGAAAGCTGATCAGTAAATGTGGCAGTATGTGTTTCTTGTACGAATACTACAGTCGAAAGGGAAAGGGAAGTAGAGTTATGAAGGTAACAATTTCAAGAACTAGAGAAACCACAGAACACCGACCGCGGAGTCGAAGGGCACTAGTATCTCTCGGGGCTTATAAGCCATAATCATCAAACCACGAATTTAAAGTTACAGGAACCATTAAATACGAAGAATGGTGAACTATCGATATAATCTTAGCATTATTCTTAGCAGAATGCAATTAGAAAGGGTACAATGAGTACAATTAATCACAAATTTATCAACATGTGTAATATTCATAGAGACATGATTTTGAGATAAAAGAAAGGCATAAGGTGTATGTAAACAGGCTTGTATCTGAAAAGTAGTTGTACTAGAAGGTCTATGAAGGCCAGCTGGACTGATACTGCAATAGTTCGCCACAGTTCTGACCGAAAGAAACTTTTACCATTCAGGAATGTGGTCAAAATGGGAGGGACCCAAGCATAGCGATAAAAACAGTTCTACTCTTAATAGGCAAACCCTGAAGGCGAACTACAGCCTCGGCTTCCTCCGTCAGCTTCTTTATCTGGTCCCACGTCGAAGGGTCATTCTTTTGACTTTATCTTGCAAATCGCCGCTGTGGGGGAAGAATTGGTCACGCCCGGCCAGCTTCTCAGGAATCTTGCAGAGTGAGGTTCTGTAAACGCTGTTACTAGAAGTTCTTCAAGGCTTTTTCTTGGGCGGGGACTTTCACTTCGTCTCGGGAAGTTGTGTGGGGGAGGAGGTGGTGGTTGAGACTTGTCTGATCAGTCTGGTACCCACACCGGCGTATCTGAGTCCTGTGGAAAAATACAAGAATATCCTCTCCCAAAGGTTTTTAAAACATCGGGCCCTTTCCATTGCCCTGTAAGGAGGTCGTTCCATTTTACTAAAGGATTGGAATTAGTTGAAGACAAAAAGCCACAAAATAATTTTCTTTAGTTTACTTAATCTTATGTAACCAATACTTGTTCTGCTGAAATCTAGTTTTTTACTAATTTAGGAATAATCGAATAGTGACTACAAATGACAACAGACTTACACATGACAATGTTTAAAGATCTGATGAGAGCTTACTGTAAAACAGTTGATATAAGGAAATTTGGATATTTCTGTAACACAAAACATTCAGTAACAAAGTTTAGCATCATTCCCTTTGACAGTGCTTTCCAGGTAAATATATGTCAGATAAATAAGGCAAACTAGCAAAATATTTTCCCTGATGACGAGAAAAAATTCCTCTGACATATTCCAAGGCCCATCTGGAAAATATCGGAGTAAACTAGAGGTAAAAGCACCCTTTTGAATTTGATTTTGGGAAGTTGTCAGAAGAAAGTTTCTTTGGCACTTGCTTAAATAAGATTATAGTTTGCCATGAAGCAATACCTATCCATTTAACCAGAATGACAACAAAATACTTCAAAGGTAAATGCAGAAGATTACACAGGTGCTAGCAAAGTTTAGCTTTTAGTTCTTTTAATATTAGTATCTCATTTTCTTAAATACTCAAACAATTCATTGAGACTTTAAGGATGAGAAACTACTTTGATAAAACAATTAGAAAACTTTTTGCAATTTTCCAACATTAAGAGCAGACTAACAGTTTAAGAAAACTTTGTCCTTTTATCTGAGAACAAAATTCTAATTTGCTGTGTACCTGATATCAAGACTCATTTGCTTTAATTTTACATAGCATGACCATATTAATTCTTCCACAAAGTTTCTACAATTTTTTTTAAAGATTAACAGATAACATCAACCTAAATGTCTTTAGGTAAACTTAGGTAGCAGATAACCATAAAGACATGTCTGTTTCAGTTTAAGGCATTCAGTTTAGCATTAATGCTTAATATCTTTTATTAGAATTTTCTGGAATTTTAAGAATGTCCACTTTTTACAAGCGCTTGTCTTTAAATCAATTTTTAGTAATACCATCTGGAAGTAAAAAAAATATTTTTCATTTACACACTTAGACACAAACATACAGATTGAGACACAATGACTATAGTTAGCAACACTTTTCACAAAAGAACATATACACAGACAAACTGACACAAAATTTGAGTTACTCACAGTGAAGACAAGTAGTGATTCTACCACATCTTACTACGCTGATGGACAGTGAATGTAATGGGGTGTGTTGGGGGGATTTGGTGAATGGGGGAGCCTAGTAAACATAATGTTCTTCATGTAATTGTAGATTAATTATAACAAAAAAAGATTTGAGTTACTAATATTCAATTGCCTTCTTTCTTTTTAGCTTACTTGATTACAGATACCTTGGAATCTGGAGGCCTTTTAGCTAGTTGAGCAGCACCTATTCTAAAAGGATTATATTGGGCTGCAGTTTCTTCTAAATTCTCTTCTTCTTCTGGAGTTAATCTTTCATCATAAGGCAGGGGCAGAGGCCAGCATCACTCGAGGTTTTGCTATAGAGAGAAGCGGTGTCTTTTCCTCTGGGCTGTCTTCTGCAAGGAGGCTCTTCCTCTGAGGGAGCTTTTCTGCCTCCTGTTGGGGTTCTAAAACTTATTTAATTAAGTTCCAAGAGCAAAAGCATCAACAAGGACCATTTTGTGTATAATATTTTCTAAGCTGATTTCTAACTTTATTCCATATCTGCATATTAACAGTTCCCTCTTCAGGGAACCAAGGACAACATTCTTGCACAAAGTGTAAGAATTTTGCTAATTGTCCATTGGTGACTCTTATACCTTTACCTCCAAGCACATGCATTAAAATTTCAATAAAGAGTCTTCTTTCTTTAGACTCAGTATGGCCCATGACTTCTCAACCTTTAGTTCTGACCTACACACTATCTCTCACCCTGCCTATCTCTATGGTTGACAGCACCTTAGTGTGAAATTCCAACTGTCCCATATCGAGGGGGCTTACCTTCAGGTCCCTGTTCAGGCGTCACTTGCTGGAGTCAAGCTCCAGTGAGTCCAGGAGACTCCAAAGGAGGAATGGCATTGGCAACTGAATGATGAGGACACAGACACCAGCAGAGTTGCTAAGCTGAGCCTTTATTGCTGAAGTTTATTGAGGTTATATATGTTTTGGGCATGCAGTTTCATGATTAGTGATTCAAGAAATGTTTCCAGTAGTTAACAATGTAAGTTTCCAAACTAAAGATCCTACCTGGCACCCTTAACAAGATGAAAACAGGTTCACATCAAGGTACATCCCTGTGATCTTTTAGAACATTGGAAATAAAGAGAAGGTCCCATAGACTTCCAGGTTATAAAGACTCCAAATTCAGAATGGCTTTAGATTGCTCAAAAGCAACATTGTAATCGAGGGTACAGTGGAAGTCCCTAGGTGACACCATTGCAGTTGGCCACCTTCCAAATTCTGAAGGAAAGTTAATTCCTTGAAACTGCAGAATAGGAACTATTGTCAATAATATTGTAATATCTCTGTATGTTGACAGATATCAATTACCCCTATCATGATGAGCATTTAGTAATATATATAATTGTCAAATCACTATGTTGTACACTTGAAACCAGTATAATATTGTATATCAACTGTATTTCAATTAAAATAAATCTAAAAATTAAAATTACTTCCAACTAAACATTCCATAAATATTCCAACTAAAATATTCCATACCCAGGCAACTGTCAACCAAGTGTGTGAATAGAATAATGACAATTTCAGATATGCTAAGTGTCACCGAAAGAACCTCTTATATACCCATTCTCAGGAATAGTCTGGCAATGTGATCCCGCAAAATGAGGGAATAAACTAAGAAGGAGGAAATTATGAAACACAGGAAATACAATAAATATAGAACATGGAGAGAAATGAAAAGATCCCAAAATGATGCTGAAAGAAAGAGCCCAGTAAGATAGCTATGTAGTAGGCATAGACAACAACCAGTCCCAGTTAGATATGGTGGTGGTGAGAAATCCTCTTGAATAACTGCTGTAGAAAGATGACATTGACACAATTATAGCTGCATCTGGAGGCTGGAGAGATTTTAATATCAGACCAAGAATTTGGGAGTTGAACTAACAACTGATACACAGAAAAGTAAACATATTTAAGAATCATGCAGTTAGCACAAAGAAAAATTAAAATCTTATGTAAGAGAAGAAGTTATTGTATTTTGTCTAAGTGTAGGGAAAATGGAAATTTTATGGCCAGGATTCTCACCTGATTCTAATATCGCCCATTGTATACACGTGATGATGTAATACTTAGCCTGCTTGCATACCTGTTGACAGAAAGCTGTTCACAGACCACAGAGCTCCACCCAGAGCAAACTCCGCCTTGGAAGTATGGACCAGGGGAGGGGTGGAGAGGAAACAAACAAGCACCTGGCCGTAATTGGTCAGGCTTCCATCAGTCAACGTAAAGACCCACCCACAGAGTTCTGCTGAGTGTTACGAGCCGGAGGAGCAGAAAAGGAGGATGGCAGAGGGAAGTCCTTGAGCCCAGAGCTGGCGAGCAGGAGGGAGAGAAGACAGTGCCAGCAGCACGGCAGTGCCTGGGGAGCAGGGGCTGTAGCCAGGCCAGCGAAGGAAATGGTTTTGCTGCTTGTACATAGCTGGGTGACTGCTGTGAGAATAAAGCTTGGTATAAGCCTCTTTTATACCCACAATATTCTTTGTTATTATCGCTCTAACAAATTCATAGTGAACTTCCACAAGAGGGGAACCCCTCCTCCTGAGCAACACTAAGTAAATACTGAATATCTAAGAAAAAATAATACGATTACATTGCAAGAATGGGCTTTGAGGAAGGGGGCCATGTGTAATGGAGACGGGGGAAGAGGAAATAATGCCTAATTCTTAACTTCCATAGGGGGATATAAATACCCTAATGAGGAAAAATCAAGGAGCAATATAAACCAAATACTTAAAAATATGGAAGTAATATAAAAATGTTAATATTAAGCTAAAAAGGTAGAAAGTGGTTTGTGTGAAGGGGGAGAAATGGAGAGGTATCTCTTTCATAACACACCTTGTAGAATTATCTGACTCTGTAAACACTGAAAATTTATAACTTTATTAAAACTTAAAATGACTTTAAAAAATAATTTGCTTAATAGACATGATTTTACTGAAAAATATTATGTCTATGAATGACATTTGTCTCTCCTGATTATAATTTTTAGTAATTCCCTTTAGCAACTTCAAGAAAAGATTTTTTAAATGAGTCCACAAAATAGAAGTGCAAGAAATACACTCAGGGCTTATAATAATAATAATACTAATAATAATTAGTGCCATGTCAAGAATTCAGTATCATCTGGAATATCACTCTGCATTTCAAATAATATCCTGAAATGACACTAAGCAACAGGAATTGAGTTTCTTCTAAAAATGATTAAACATTGATATTTTAATCCATTCCCTGTATAAGAGCAGAAATTTGGTTTGGGGACTTGATTGTACCAAAATAAAATATATTTATCAAAAACATTAAACAAAATCATTAACAAACATTGCTTTCCCTCTTAGCCAATTTTTGCTAATCTCTGGCTGTTTCTTCAGTCAGACTATGTTATTGGGGTATCCAGGTGCTTCTTGAATATATCCCATCTCTGCATCTGAACTGTCACTCTTGAAGTCTCTCTTCCCTACTTTGAGTCATTCTTTGTACACCTCTGAATATCCCAATATGAATAAACCCATGATTTTTCTGCATATATTGTTGTCAGAGTGGTGCCAGAATCTTGAAACTTAAGGCTGCACCTATGTTGGGGCTCTCTGCTGCCCTCCCATGGCGAGTCTCTGCACTACAGTTCCGTAGACCGGAG